TACTAGTCCAGGCATCCCTGGACATGACTGTATTGTGCTTTGCACACGTTACCCACACTTTTTGGTACTAAGTATATAAAAGTGAAGGAGGAGCAAATATTCTCCAAAGGGTAGATTTTCAGAAACTTGGCCAAACTTCCATAGGACTTTTGGTCTGATTTAAGTGAAAGCCTTCAGATCACAATAAAGAAATGCATTTTTTCCTCTTAGAAAGCTTTAATGATTATTAGTGCTTATCTAAGTGCTTATCTACCTGTCAGAAAATAAAGAAGTTGCTGCTTAGAAGGTAGTGTAATAGATTTTATGGATAATAAAGCAAACTGAAAATAATGAACATTCACTACAAAAGGTATAGACTGTTTTGTTTTAATTTAAAACGTTAGAGCATTAAAAATACATCAATCACCAAATATTTTGGCAAGTTTCCTACAAGAAATGAAGCAAAATCACAGTCATTTTAGACCAGGTTTTTAATAGGTTTCTGACAGTCCTGAGAACATAAATTCCATTGAAGGAGTGTGACAAATTATTTTGTTTTCCAACATATTTACTTAACTTGATTAACTTTGTTAATGAAGAACTGTTATTGTATAGCTTTATCTGGGGCTGTAAATAACATCTTTAATGATGGATTGTTCTCATGTAATTAAATTTAAACAGCCCTACATTGGAGAAGAAGTGCTAAGGAAATTACAAGGGTGAAACAGCCCCTTTTTTGTACTACGAATACTAATTATATGGCATTTATTTATTCATTTATCCCTTTGTATCTGCCTCCTAGTAGAGAAAGTGGGAGGTGATAATCATGAATCCCAAATGTGTGTAGTAGTAAATGACATCACTTCTTCTCTCTTACTACACCTGTGTCACTAAGCAAACTTTGCAAAATGTTTATTGTGCATTGTGATTACCACTGCACATTTTTATAACTTAATATAACTAATATATCCAACAGCTTGTTAAAAACATCAAAACAAACTGCAACTTCATTTATCTTCCTATTTCAGAAACAGGGGGCTTTTTAGTTCTATCATTAATTGGACCAACTATATAGTTAGGAAACAGATTAGACCCAACTGGATGGTCCAGATAGTCCAGGAATGTGTGAGAATCAAGGGATTTTTTGTGATATATACTCTCTCTACAGTTGGTCCAATAAAAGATATCACCAAAGAAACCCTTGCTGCTTATATATTTCCCTGGATCATCATGGCTACAGCAACAATCCAGCCCTGACACTTCATATTTGAGAACATTTATAACACTCTATGTTCATGGAGTGAAAAACATTTTTTTTTTAATAAAATGTGTAATATTTTGTGTAATTTAAATAAGGGGATCCTTCATTCACATGATGTGAAGTTTTTATTTAATTTAATATTGATGTACATTTTAGGAAGCTTGCAAATATTCACTTGGGCCCATACAGAATGTAGGCAGAGGATAATGGAATGAATGAGCAAGTTGGATGTAGTCTATTTAGCTGTTCTGACAGTGCTGCAAAGGGTAATTTCTTTAAAGCTTAAGAACGTATGGACAGTTCCAGTATTACACACACAGAGATAATTTCATTTATTTTTTATAAGAAAAAAATAAATTTGGCAATTGTGAGATAATGAATCCTGTTTTTCCAATAATATCACCTTTACCTGTGTCTCATTATTCTCTAGGAATAAAAGATAACCCTTTTTTCACCTTTTTTTGTTTAAGGCTTCCTTCTCGAGTTTAAAAATAATTAGAACAACTGAGTATTTTTATTCCATTAACAGTGGTATGTGAGGTATGGATAAGAAGACTAGGACTTACCATGATAGTGCAGATTTAGATGTTGGTCCACCACTTCATCCCAGAATGTACATTAGCACCAGCTGTGTAGAATAGGATTGAGGTACCTTTTACAAGGCTTCATCAGGACCGAAACTTGTTTGGCTTTCACGCTAGAGTAGTGTTATGTTTTTAATATAAAAAAATGTACTCTTCATCTTGTCTGCCTTTTGATCTGTGTTAAGTCTAAGTCTATAGCTTCTGTTGTTAGCTGAAGAAAATGAGATACAGTATCTCATCTGTGAAAGTATTGTGATGATTTTTGAATACTCAGAATTGGTTTGGAGATGTCATATATGGTAGGATACTGGAAACCCTTGGGAATGAGTTGCAGAACAGTGTAGACAACTGGTCCTATTTAAAAACCCAGACTTAAAAAGCCCATGAAAGAAATGATTTGATTGCAAACGAGGTAGAATGCATTTGCCTTTGAACACTCTAAATTTTTTCCTAAACCGCACGCATGTGCACCCCTTGCCTAATCTTTAATGTTCAGAATTTTGATTGTTTGTGAGAGTGCATCACAGAATTGCAATATTTAAAAATAAGAATTGATAAATTATAGCTGAGGTTTGAATTTCTGGTAAAAAATAACCTGAATATGTTGGCTTTCTGGATGCACTGCAAAAGCCAACTATGGTAAATGACAGGATTTGTGGGAGGGATGATATGTCCCAGCAAGACTGGAAAGGTTCTTTACTGTTTGCCTGGTTTAATGACTGCCTGAGTTAATTTATTTCTCATAGGTAACTATTTGCAAGTTGTTGGGTTTCAGCACTCTGCTATTGTAATTATTATTGTACCCTGAGTTTTTTGTATGAGGACCTTTTATTTTTATTTTAAATCTAAGTAAATGAATGCTCCCACATATATATATTGATTTAAATAATTAACACATAGGATGAGTTGTGAAAAAATTAAGTTAATTCACTGTTAACTTTTGTCATTCTTGGGAAAGGTTGTTCAAATTCCTGAATGTATCGGGCAAAATTAATTTTCTTTTTTTGGCAAGGATGTTAAAACAAGCAATAACAATCACATGAGTTGACAAGAACCTTTTTAGAGTTTTTTGTTTGTTTTTTAAATTAAGTCTTTAATAACTATTGTTATTTTTGAAAATAATTTATACAATTTGTATTAATCTAAAAGACTGTGTCAGGTTATATAAAGCCATACTGTAACTGTTTTGAGCAAATGCAGATAGGCACAGATAGTCATGATGGCATCTTTAAAAAAAATGCAGGTGTAACTAAACTTTACTTGAGTTTTTCCATAGTTTGCATGTATAGGTTTAAACAAAGGCAATAAACTTGACCATTTTCCTAAATAGCACTGAATTATGAGTAGCTATATAGGACAAATAGCCTCCTAGCTCTAGGTTACTATAGAATCTTTTAAAAAATTGAATCTCTAATAAACATATAATTTGTCATTTCATTCATGTTTTAATTTTCAATTAAAGTTTTTCTTTCTTATTCTTAGCCATCTGATGAAGATACCCTCAGCCTTAATGTGCCAATGTCAAACATTATGGAAGAAGATCAAATTATAAAGGAAGATTTGGGTCACAACACAAACTCATTAAAAGGTATGAATACAAAGGGGAGAAAGTTAACAATAACAGGAATTCTGTATGTAATACTGTTATGGGTGTAGTCTACAAAAAATCCCAACACAATTTTCTAAGCTTCCTCAAACATGTACTTAAAATACACACTTTTAGTTTACCACGCTTTTCCCTGAAATATTTTAATTATGAAGCATGTTTTTGTTTGTATTTCTGAGACTATGTACCAGCCCCTTAGCACAGGTCAGAAACCTTCTTATTAATCCCATTTTACAGACTTCATTTGCCTACTATCATTAGACTACTTTGTTTTCTTTAATTCTAAAATACACCTACTGGCAGGCTCTGAGTGTGTGTATACTTTAGTATTAAAAATTACCCAAAGAACTTGTCTGCCTTAGTATTAAAAATGACATGTAAGCCACATTAATCCTACTGCAGGCAAACCCCATCAAGAAGAAAATGTTTTCTGTCCATGTCCTGAATTAATTAAGATGGAGATTCAGAAGTGCCTGCCTTGTTTCCAAATACCAAATAAATTCAAAATACAGACACCTCACCTGACCTTTAGCAACATGAATATGGAGAATCAGTTTCTCTGGTGGTCAAATCAACTTAGGGTTGTATAGGTCAAAATCAGTACTTTGAATTTTATTTGAAATTGAATAAAAGTTCTGAGTCCCTTCAGAACTTGAAAAGTGTTGTATTACTTTCAATGTATGAATAAAAATAAAAATATCTAAGTAAAAATTTACTTTTCTAAATTACACACCATTTTCTTTATTGATACAAATTATGCTGTCGGGTCTGCACAAACTTAACCAGACTAACTGTGGAAAACAACTATGTGCAAGTATCACATTAGCCATTAGAGCATGGTGTCTTCATACTTGTAGTCTTTGCTGCTTTTGTTCCAGTGAAGAAAAATTAGTTTCTCTGCTTAAAATGCTCACTGAAATTTTGGAGGGCTGATTTTGGGGAAAAGGTCTGTGTAGTACATGAGTAAATACAGTATTGGAATAGGCTGACATGTTCTGTATTGGTTGCTTTTGAGTGGTATTAGAAGAATTCAGAAGTACTCATTATAATAACGTAACGCTGAGGTTGGATTAAAGTGCAAATAAGAGGGTCATAGGCAGACAAGGTTCCTTGGGTGAATTTGATATCTTTTATTAGACCAACCCAAATAGTTGGAGAATAGTTATTAAGCAAGCTTTCGGGTTCAAAAACCCTTCGTCAGGCTAAGGAAGTTTCAGCAGTTGGTGTGTGCTCTTCCTGGATGGAATGAAAAGTAAACAAGCCAGGGGCTGGGCTGGGGAGTCAGTTGCCAGGCAGATTATAATGTATCAAAAATCCAATGTCTACATTTAGTCCATGATCTCTAGTATCCAGGAGGTTGATGAAATGGAGTTCATAGGCTCGTCTCTGGGAAGTGTCAGAGGGTCAGGCATCTGCTTCCTAGACTGTCTTAAATTTACCCTAGTCTGTGTATTTCCATTTCTATGCTGTTAATGGTATTTGTTGTGTCTTTAAAATAGACTGCTTCCTCCTCTCATGCTGGTGTAGCTTGGAAGCGATTCCATGGACAACAGTAGCGTTGTTTGTGAGTTGCACTTGTATAAGGTTGAAATCTGTCCACATATTTGAACACAAAGGCTTTATGCATACAACTTTCACATATTTTTTTTAGGTTCAGTCCAGCGTAGTCCATAAGTTTTAAGTTTCTATTTTGACAATTCTTGTGTCTTTTTAGATTTAGATTTCAGCTGTGTTACTGAGCCCTACTGCATTTAAGAAGGTTCTTCACTAAACCTGATTTAAATTCAGTTGAACAGTTAATGCTGGGTCAGAAATCATTTTTATATCTTTGTGTTTTTTATTCCATTTCCCATTAGTGGAATTTCATCAGGGATCACCTCCTCTAATTGACAATGATAAATCAAGAGAAGCAGGAAACCAGTTTGCTGATGGATCAGATACCCTCACTGCTGAATTTATAAGCTATATCAAGGCAAGTCTGATTTATATTGAATGAAAAAGAATCTCAATACTACTTTCATAAGCACAGAGGAAGCAGAAATGACAAACTGCTGGCACAGTGTTATTAATAAGAGAAGTGCAGTTGATATTCATTGTCATCGGTTTAGAGTCACAGAGTGAAAACATAAGCAGATAGATTAATCATCACCATTATTTTAAAGTTAGAAGGTCATGTTACCCATAACTCTTACTCTAATCCTTGTGAAAGGCATCATCTCCTCCCCTTAAAATTTGACCTTGTTTTTTAAATAAAATTACTATAGGGCAGTTCTCTCCTGGGCAAGTTTTGCAGCACTTGCCTATGTGAGTTTTTCTTATATTTTTAATTGGGTAATTGTTTCGAAGGTGCAAAGTTTACAATGGTGCTTAGGTCTCAAAAATTATGAAAAGATGGTGGAATATGAAAAATGGATGTAGCTAGGGAAATATTTTAGTTCATGGGAGAAATGTGGAAATCTTTAAAGACAAAGGATATCACCTACTTTTTGGTAAGCTGAACAAAGTACTGTCTCTAGAAAAATACTTGCAGTAAGATTCAGTGACTGCCTTTCTTAAGCGTCTGTTTGTAGACAGTGAATTTTCTAATCAATATTTTGCTTATACACTAATATACGTGATCTGCATCATTGCCAACAAAAGCTAAGGTGGCTTTAAGGTGTGTATGACTGCACATGGTCCAAGTTCTGGCTTTGCCCCTTTACTTTCCTTGTGGGTAGCTAGTTAATCCCTGTAAAAATATTGCTCTTGTATTCTTGCCATGGTTAATGAGCACTTTGGTTATCAGCCTGCTGTGTCCAGCTGTGTAAATTTCATCTGCCTGGGGAATGGTTTAGTTTGCTTACACGTCTAGCTGTTTTTCATAATGATTCTATGAATTGTTATCATAAATTGCAAAGTTATACCCCTTTTGTGGTTTTTTGAGTTGAGTGGTCCCTGATTTCCTTAAAGTCTGCTGCTTTTTTTTTAATTGTAGCATTGGGTTTTGCGTAATGTATCTGGGTAATATGTCTTTGAAAAAGTTGCATTAAAATCCATATAAATCACTAATGAATAGAGTCATATTGTAACGCATGAAATTAATTTAGTTCATTATGTAATATAGCTTATGTGATTAAATCTGTCCAAAAATGATTTAATACACAGATAAGTTGATCAATAGAAGGATTTCTCTGGAACTTTATATGCCAAGCTTTGAACGGTGTTTGTTTGCCTATGAAAATATATTTGCTGGATAGTCCTGCCGGGTTCTATTTAAAACTAATGTATTCCATTATGGTTACAGACAGGGTGGATATGGTTTAAATCAAATCGATTTAAATAATGATTTAAATCACAATTTAAATCACTTGTCAGGAAGCTTTGGTTTAATCATTGTTTTCTACTAGACATGCATTCTTATTTGATATAACTTTAATACATATTATTCACATCTCAGAGATAGATGTAGGTTTCATTTGTAAAAGGTACACACTATACATTTTAAAGCAGTGATTTATTTTGATATTTTTCAGATTGAATTTGCAGATACATCAGAAAGCTAATTATGATTTGGTTATTTTATTTACCAAAGCTAATTGAAGCAAATACTTGTGAAGTCATTGGGGGGTGAACTATATCCAGTTCACTAGATTAATCATGGATATTTGGGGGATATTTTTGCCACGCTGTATTAGGAAGACATCAAATGAGTGCTGAAGCCATATGTTATTAGCTTTGGGCTTTCTTCCCTTTCTTCTAGATTTCTTCTCACCTTTGATTTCTTCTCTTATATGAGATGCATCTCTTATGAGAGAGATTTTTTTCAAAATGAAAGTTAACTTTCTCTTTCAGTCTAGCTTGCTCTCATTTTCAACCTCTTCCTTGTTCTGTGGGGTGGGAAGAATTGAAAATGGAGGGTGGGAGATGCATGCAGAGGATTTTTCAGATCTTTTTCACTTTATAAAACCTTTTTGTACTGGAAAAGTTTGAAGAAAAATACAAGTGTTATGGTGTCCTGTCCATTCCCTCCTCCCCCCCCAACCCTTTTCTAATTTACCACCTCCAGTGTCCTGGGCAAAAATGTATATTTTTAGGCAACATGAACAAACAACCAAAATATTTCCTTTGTTTTCTTTAATTATATTATCAAAAGAAGTATTCACAAATAATAATGGTAAATAATAATAATAATAAATCTCCTAGCTCTGATTAATACTTATATAATGCTTTACAGCTTCTAAACTTTATAAACATTAACTACTGGTCACATCACCTTTCTACGGCAGTGTGTGTGTCATAAAGTCAGGTCAACATAGAGGCATTAAAGGTGACATGCTTTTCCCACATACAAAACTTGAGTAAATATGCAAGTGAAGGTGAATCAGCAAGGGTAAGAGGAAGAATATTTCTTCCTTTATTTCTTTCCCACACTGAAGTTGAGTGGCACATGATCTGCTGCCAACATTGCACACTTTGTGGCATGTTACTGTCCCTGTAGTATATGTTGGTTGGTGTTTTTCCAAGAGTGATTTCAGCACAGCTACAAGTCAGCACCTCTTGCACATAGTTATGAAGAGTGTTACCAGTCCTGGTTCATTTGTGCACAAGTTGTATAGTGAAAATGTTGCCCAGATTAGCACTCTTAAAGGATTTGGATTTTAATACCACCTTGCTATATTGACAGCTGAGACCAGTGTACAGGCTGTAGTTAACAGCCCTACTACAGCAAGAGCAGTCTTCGGGCAGGGTATTTCCCTTGTTGGTTAAGTGGCAGAATTTGCTGAACTCTTTAGTTCACATGATAGAACTCTTACTTTCTCAAGCCATATTTTGTGAAAGCAGAGGAATTTAAAGTTGGGGTTTATTTTTTTCTTAGTGTTGTTCCCATCCCCTTTTCCCCTATTGATTTCATTAGAGTTACTCCTAATGGTGGAATGGAGAGAAAAATCAGCTTCTGCTTTAATTGATGATTAATGTTTGCCTATGCCAGAAGGACATGGGTGAAATATGGGGCATTCAGGAATATAATTCTTATGGTTATTTGGCTTCTTTTTACCTTTAAAAGAGGCTAAGGACAATTGACCTCAATAAAATCTAACATTTTAATAAAAGATGGTGTATCCAAATGGGGTATCCTAGAATGGGGGTGGAGAGGTAGGAATGAAACACAGATCTTAGATTGCTTCATCTAACCACTCAAAATTCATAAATGAACTAGGTCACTGCTGAGGCTGAAATGAAACTTATTATCTGTTCTTAATTGCAAAGTTGTCGTCTTAACTTCAGTATGTCTATTCGTAGGGAAGAGCAGAGGAATGTGATGAATTATTACGAATAGAAGAGGACACACAATGGCAAACAGAAGACATGTAAGTATTTATATACCTAAAAGATATAATCCATATAATTTTACTAGATAACCAGAATGAATTCTGCTTTTAGGGAATTTCCTTATCAGCTTCTCATTCTCTATACTTAAAAGCACGAAGTGTATATAAATATATATAAAATAATAAAATATATACACTTATATATATAATTTTGCTATCTGTAAAATGTTATTAATATGGTCAAAAGTATTTAATATATTTGTCTAAGAATGAATAATGTTATTATTTTTAAAGGAAACAAGTATTTTTTGGTTACTGTTAACTGACTGCCCCTATTTAAATGTCATTACATCATTTTTAAGGCAGATCAAACACAGATCTTAAAAACAGTGATTAGAGGAAAATCCTACTGTCTTGCCCATTTTTAATGTGCTCTACTATAATAGTATTTAATTGTGATTAAAACATTGATGATAAACCTCAGTCATTGATTAGAGTATATACAACATAATTTAGCATGATAATGAACTCTGTATTGAAGATGCTGTAAGTTCAGATGTAAAATCAGTATTTGACAAATACTAAAAGAAAAAATACCTTGGTTGAACTGGCTAGTGGAGTAAAGACAGTTTCTAAATGTCTGAAAGTATTAGACATGAGAAAACAAGGTAAAGCCTGTTTTGCTGTTATCTTTTTACTTATAGAATAAGCAAGGTGTAATGCATTGTAGTTAATATATTATTTCAGCTTCAGATCTGAGGCTGTTTAAAATAATTAAAATGCTGTACAGGAGGAATCATTATCTGCTTAGTATGTAGGGAGCTGGGGAAAGGGGAGAGATTTTTATGAACTCACTGTCTTCAGAACATACATCATTTGCTTAATTTAAGCAGCCAATTTCAAAATATATTCCATCAAATTAAATCCTAGCTTCTCTGAAACTCATTGCAATGTCTTTGTTTCTTGTGCTTGTTTCCTGCTATAGCACAAATTCATCAGAAGAGCCAAATATTGATATAGCAATGATAGATCAGCTAAGAGAAGCAGTAGATTTATTACAAGATCCCAACAGGTATGCTCACTACACAGTGTGATGTAAGTAATGCTTGAGAGTTTTCTATAAGAGGCAGTTGCAATTCTTGAGGTCAAATGCAACCCCCCCCCCCCCCAAAAAAAAACAAAACAAAACAAAACAAAAAATATTTCCTGTATTTATTGATAGCTGAAATTGTTTGGCTATTACAGTGGTTTGCTAATATAGATGTTCTTCAGAATTGGAGTACAGTAAAAGCTGTGTTATCCGGCACTTTACCATCCGGAATGCTCTATTAGGTGGCATCTGTTCCACCGTGGCACTTCTGGTTTTGCCACTGCGAATCAAGTCCCTCTTCTTCCTTGTGGACCACAGCCCAGGGCAAAGCAGTCTGCACGGGTCCCCCCTCCCTGCCCTCCAGCACACTGACACCAGGGATTGAAAGCCCTGCCACACCAGACACGGCAGGAGGTGCAGTGGCCCGAACAGGCAAAGATGCCTCCAACCCACCAGGCTGGAACTAAGTATAATTCTCAGATAACCAGCATATTTGATTAACTGGCACCCCCATTCCCCATGGATGCCGGATAACAGAGCTTTTACTGTACTAGGTGTTCTTTACCTGGCAAGTTGTTAAAAAAAGGAAAGTAATTACCGTATTTACCTGAATACAATATGACCCTGAATTTAAGATGGCCTTCCCCAATTAGCTTCTATACACAGATCATTTATAAATGTATTGTAATTTTCCATGATGGAATCTGATTGGAGGATCATCTTAAATTGGATTCCTCCCCTCCCCCCACTTACTGGCCATTGTGCCTGCCCCCTTGCAGCCTCATGCTGCCCCAGTAAGGAGGAGCGGGCCGGGGTGGGGAGCGGGGGGAAGAGAGAGAGCGAAGTAGTGTTGGGGGGAGACTGGGGGCTACAGGGAAGGAGAGTGCCACAGCATACAGAGGTGGGGGCAGGTAGCAACTCTGGTTCCAACCCCATCAGCTACCTCCTAACGCCGTTTCCCATCCTGCCCCACTGCCTTATGCTCGATTGTAAGGCATGGTACTTTTTTCCCTTGTGTTAAATGGGCAGGGGCAGGGAGCCTTGTCTTCTACTGAAGTAAATAAGGTATGTGGCATTTTGTCTAAGGAAAGTTGTGAGATGCTCCACCCTGAATGTAGGCACAGGATTCCTATGTAGTTAACAGGAACTGCAACCCTAATAGAAACATACAAATGAGAATGAAAAAGCATTAAGTCATCCATGCACAATAATGCTGTATGGTGTGTTTTCTGAAGACTTGTCCAGGACAGTTTAAAATTGTAAGATTGCATCAGGAGAGAACTGTATTGGCTCTTTTATATATTCATAAAGAGAACAAGAGAAAGGGGAAGTCTTTTTTATTTGACTGGACACAAGATCAGGTTGTTTTTTATTTGCTTTACAGAATTGGTACTTAACACTAGTTAAGAACACTTAGGTCACTGAGTCCAGTCCTCTGCTATTGCAGGCAGTCGCATCATATTCTCCCTTTCATTAACTAGTAAATCTTCATTTGAAAAGTGAATTAGTTTTTCTTCCCCTAGAGCACTCCTTTTGCGACAGTGTTCCAGAATTTTATTCCTCTGATGATTAGAAAGCTTATTACTTCCTAACCTACATTTTATTTATGGCCAGTTGATACCATTTTTTTCTTGTGCCAGCATTGTCTTTAGTTTAAATAGTTCCTTTCCATATTGCATGCTCACTTTGCAAATTTTTCCCATTTAGTTGAAAATATGAATTTACTTTGGCTGTTATTGGACAGTAGTCTCTATTAAACTGTTTGCTTTAACTTGGTGAAGCTGTCTCTGCTTGGTAAAAGAGAAAGTAACTGCACTTATTAGAAAAGTTTGTTGATATCAGTTTTGGATTCAGTGCTGCAGCATTGTATTGCTCTTGCTCTGCACCCATGGTATGCTGTTCTTACAATTGAGGCAGATGTTGCCTTTAATAAAAAAAAAAAAAATCTGTTTTAAATTAACAATTCTTAATCTTGTAAATAATTCTGTTTTTCAGTTTCACTTGCTGCTGTAATCTACATATCTCCCCCTTTCCTCCCTTCTGAATAGAGAACAGGCATTAAAAAATATATAGATCTTTATAATATTTCAGACTTCCATTAATTTTATTCTGAAGGTTTTTGATTGATGATTTTGAGGAAAATATATTTGAACTGTTAATTTGTCCATTGGCTGTTTATTGTTCATGATGATTGCCAGTCATGTCACACACATACAAAACCAATAGAGAGAAAAGTAGTGAAGAGATCTTGCTGTGGCCTTTTTTGAACTACTTAAATACTGTTTTTGCATTTTTACATTTAGTGGTCTTCAGATACAATACAGAAACAGTCCTGGCACCAGGGACCTAAGACTCAAGTGTCCCTGTAACCCCACACCGCAAAAGTTAGGCTTAGTCTTTGCTTACATGCTTTCTGTGGTCCCATGAATTTTGCCGCCTTACCTATTCTAATGGCCTGGCTTCATCAAGAAGGATTGAGAGTGTCCTCAGCACAGAATAACCTGTAGCCTGGTGGTTAGGCTTTTCTCATGGGAAGTAGGGGCTTCTAGGTTTGAATCCATTCAGGGTGAGGTGGCCATTGAAGTTCTCTAACCACTAGCCTCTAGTGGCAACACCCAAACCTGTGTTTTAAAAAAGAGTGAGTTACCTGTGCTGTCAGGATCAACTTAAGTGCTTTTATGAAAGAGGTGTTTGTGCTGTGAATCTCAGTCTTCTATATGTGCCTTACTTAAGTGCTTCATTGCAGCCCTAAATTCTGGAGTGAGACAGGATTTCAGATATGTCGCCCTCTTCAGCATTCCCGCTGGCTGGTTTTGGCATCCTCCCATTCAGCATTCAGGCTCTTGTGAATCCCATACTGAAGCTGTCCCTGTTAGGCATAAACCTATGCCTAACCTGTGCCTGTGGATATCACTTGTAGGGGTAGACGCTTCCAGTATCTAAGGGCTAAGATTCTAAAATGTACTTAAGTAGGTAGTGTTTATGCTAACTAGAACGTGCATTCTGAACCCATTCATTGCTCAAGATGAGATTCCACATACGAAGTTGTGAAACTTAAGAATCAAAATATATTTCTACAATAATTTATTAAGGATGTTAGTAAGAAATAATATGGAATAAGTAAAAGGTAATTTAAACTATTGAATATCTCCCTTTGCTTGAAATTAAACTCTGTAGAACATTATCAAAAGCTGTACCCCAGTGCATTGTTTTTATTTCTAACTTTGCAGATTAAGCTTGGATATTACAGAGGACAGTGGTGTGAATCTGTATCCCGTGGAACCTGCAACAGCTTTAGAATTTCAGGAGTCTACAGTAAAGTGTGTTTACCTTTTTAAGAAAAATAATGGGTTTTCTAACATTCATATTTCTACACTTTACAATTTAATGTGCTTTCTCTTATATATCTATATACAGTGGCCAAATGCAGACAGAAATGTCCCGTATCTATCAGGTAGGTTGTATTATATGGTACAATATATAGTATTCACAATATGCAGGGAGGAGATGGAAAATGAGTCAATGGGTTCTTTAAATTTTTAGCTGGTAAAAATGTAAATGGTAAAAATGTATACAAATGTAGTGGTTTCAGGACAGAAATAGATGTAATTCTTTTGAAAACGTTGTATATTTTTTTTGTAGAACTTAAAAAAAAAAACAAAACATGTTACCTTGATAGCTCTTCTGGACTTTAGCATCTAGAGATTACCAATAGTGCTTTAATCTGCATTTGTTGTCTAGCAATAATTGTTTCTGCAGTCACAGCTATTTTTTATTTGTCCAAATATTTCAGGTAATATAATCTTAAAAGCAGATTGATAGTCATTACCATATGTACTTGTGCTAGTTCTTTCTCTACCCACTTGCTCTATAGCTAGAAAATGGTAAGGCACTCGAGTGTTCCTAAAGCTCTTTACAAACAAAAACAGAAAAAAAATATTTCTCTGAAGTGTTGTCACTATTGCTACACCAAATTATAATTAGACAACAATTTGGAACTTAATTTAGTATTTGTTGCTCACTATTTGATTTATATCCTGTCCAGTAAACTGTTGGTATTCCTTATAGAATTATTTGTTCAGACTTCCAAAATTGTCTGCTTGTAACCACTTATACTGAGCATCTTTCATATAGTTTCCTTCCCTATTTGTTCTTTCCAGTATTTCTTAGACTTATTTTTGAGACCATGCTATGGAAGAGTTATGTTTGTTTCTCTTCACCAGTAATATGCATAACATCTAAATGGATATGTACGTTACAGAAAGAAAATGCTGAGAAGGAACTCGAATTCCAAAAGACAAGGGGATTGATTATGGAGAAAACAAAAGCGGAGGCCAAAATTACATTTGAACAGAATGAAAAGCAGCCATTAAGTCAGGTATGGATGATCCTGGGAAAGTATGTTTATCCAGCCATAGGACTCATTTGAAGGGGAACTTCCTGAAAGAAATTCATTGACATATACAGTAATATGTTACAAGAGAAAACCTGATTAATTTTGTGAACTATGCCTTGATATGGATCTCAGGGTTTATTTTCAGAACAAAAGTTAAAAAGAACTAGTTTCTGAAGGAGAGGAATGAAATTCAGGATATCTGCTCATGCGAGGAATATTTGTATATTGGTCCTGTGCATTTTTCTCCAAAGTTTCATTCTGTAGGGGAGGTGAGAACACTTGACATGATTGAGTTCTTAGTAATGTTTAAAAATAATTCTCCAAACTTTGTATGCTCCAAGATTTTCAATAATGCAGTATATAAAACTCAATAATTTAATTTTTAAAAAGCAAACTAATTACTTGCTGAATATTAGTTTGACTTCAAGGTGTCCTGGTTTTGTGTGTACCTATGTTGGTCCTCCAATATTTAAGAATTATGAACATTATTTTTAATTCATTCATATATTTTAGTATCCTGAACTATTGGTTTCTACTGTGTACAGTACTTGCAACAAGAATTAGAGAACATAGTAATATGTTCTTCCCACTCCTGTTCATTACAGTACCCAACATTAGGAGGTCTGTCTTCATAGTTGTCCACATCTTTGCTTTTTCTCTGAAAGATATATTTTAGTAGTTCAGTATCATAATTTTCTTCTGTTTCCCATATCAGAGCTCAACTTGTATCATATCCTTGCACCACTTTGAAACACATTCCAAGTGCATCATTCATACTGCAACTAATGCTAGTCTGTTTCAGAATATTTTTGGTCTTTCCACAGTACTGAATTTTTATAAAACAAGATGTTCAATGCTTTTAGAAGGATCTTGATTTCTGAAATGTGATCCTGAAATATGCTAATACCTTAGAAATCGAGAATGCTCTGGATTTGCCAGTGATGCCAAATGGGAGTTGGAGGCACTTGCTGTTTTGCAAGAGTTACCCATCTTGTCATGAGGAAAGATAGGTAGCTGTATACTGTATGCAATAGAAAATAATTTATATCCACAGTGATGGGCACAAATTTAGATATATGATTAACAACTTATGTAGACTAAAGCAGAGGTTTGGGCTGTAATGTTGGCATGAATAGTATGTCTGTTAAAAGCTATAGCCCCCTTTATTCTGAGGAGTTGCTGTCTTCAGACAGGATATACATAAGAGTGGGATCTGATGTCTAAGAATCATTCTGGTTCAATGTCGAGATAAGGGCTGAGGTAAGACCCTGAGAGTTGTTCTTTGTTTAAAGCCACCCAGGAAAAGATAGCCAGGGGAAAAGGTGTCTCTCTTTCTCTCCTAGTTTGTTGAGAATTAGGAACATTTCTCGTGGCTGGGACTGATTGTTCCGAGTTGCTTTTCTTTTGTTTCAAATCTTTGTTTATAAAGTTGGCCCTGAGGAAAAACCTTGGACCGAACTGTAGTTTGGCCTTCACTTTATCTTACCTAGATGATGTTTCTACCCACTGCCTTACATATGCATTATACAGCATTTGTAATTGTAAACTATTTTGTCAAATATGCAATACACATTGTCAGTCTAATCATAGTTAAGGCATCAGCAATAGATAAGATTGTTATACTATTATTGTATAACTGATTTCTGGCAAATCACTTCCTGTCTGTAGATCTGTATTAAAATATTTTTGCTTGCTACTTGTTTTAATTATGACCTTGGTTAAAACACCTTGAAATACTAACCTTTCTGCCCTTGGACCAATACTGTCTTGAAAGATTATATTAAATTCATTTATGGGTCTACTGTACCAACAAACTTGCATGGAATAGGTTACTGGAAGAATGCTTTTATTTTGTTGCTAAACAAAGAAAAATAATTGCAAAGTTTTCTCTTCTTAAAAAAGTTTGCTAACTTTTTAAGATTAGAAATATAAACCTGTAGGTCTTCAGGGAAAATAACTGCTCAGTGAAAGATTAACAAATTAATAGCCATCCTAGTCAGTATATGTGCTTTTCCATTCCAAAAATGGAAATTATTGTATCCTCTAATTTCAAGAGCTAACTGTAGCGCCTCTTCCTCTTGAGCACCTCTTTGCTCTGATATTTTTTGATGAAAGTAGAGATATAGGGATACCCCCAGCTTAGGACATAAAGTTACTTAACGAACAAAAATGCTCCTTAGAAATGTGTTGAGTGATAGACAGACATAACAATAGTATCAGTATTAAGGGATACTAATAGCTGCCATGATGCAGTTGTTACATCTGCATGTTTCTGTAATGATGTAAGCGTAGCAAAACTCCTGCAGCTTTAATCCTGTTTCATTCAGGATCTAATTTAAACTGATTTAACTGACTTTTTGTTTGATACAGGATCATAAGGCTATAAGTTAGATCATAACAGCTGAAGTGCGCTCCCAGGCAGCACTCCTCTCTGTCTTTAAAGAGGTTAATATTTACATTTGTCCATACCCTTTGGTGTCAGGTATTATGCTTGTACAAGAAATGTACTTATTGTATCATTCTGTTTTTTTAAAAACACGCAGAATGATCTGATTGTTTGGAATATAGGAGGACAAAGTTCTCACAATGAGGTAGGATGCTACTGTTGTTTGTGTGTCTGTTACATAAGACATGATTTTGATTTACATATTGTCAAATGACACAATGACTTTAAAAACACAGTACCTATAGTTAGCATGTCACAGCTGCATGCAAGTTAAATTCATTCATGATAGTCTTTTAGCTGTATTTGCCTATTTCATTTGGTCATCTTTTTCATAAATGTTTGAGAGAGCCAGAAACTTTAACCCTGGAGCTATTGCTGATGTCATCCACAACATTTTTATATGCAAGGATACATATACCTTTTATTTAATTTCATTGTATTTTGTCAAGATTCATTCTTGTGCTGAGTAGTACCCATTGGTCCCACGTGATAGCCCATTTATTTCAGGGGACATACATTTACGGAACAGATTAGATTCCAGCAATCATCATCCTGTATTATGGATTCCATTCACCCCTATTATCCCCATCATGAAGCCCTTGCCAAAGGAGATGAAAGCTCTGAGGTTTTCCTTGTGGAGATTTGCCCTTTGTAGTTTCATTGGGCAGCCAGTGCTTTCTCCCCCATTTTAACACAGTGGAAGTGGCTCACAAATTCTGTGAATTACCATGGGAAGGGCATGATCATTGATAACGTTGGGCTCCTTTGAAAATTTGTGCCCATCTTCTGTCAGCATAGTTCCATAGAAGCATTGGTGATTGGACTTCCACTTCCTCTTGCTACCCCAGGAGGTCTTTTTTAAGGCAGATTTCTACCACATGTCTGTCTTATCTAATTTTGACTAGTGATATGTTTAACACTCGCTTATGCCCTCCCATATCTTTACTATTTTTCCACTTTATGCTTGGGATCTTCAAACTTAGTTCAGGGTCCAAGGGGTAGGCATGATGCCTTGATAAGTCTGATTAACATTCTTCTTTCTGCTTTTCGCTGCTAAAATATAGTTGGGTTTCCCTTCTGCAGAATTTCATAGCTTGCGGGAAACACATTTAGACAGGAAGATAAATGCTGTGAAAGAACAGAATGTCCATAATGAACTGTTTTTTTCCCTCTTATTTACTCTAAAATCCTTCACTGTAGTTACAGGGGTGTAGGTTGTAACCGTGTTGGTCTAAGGACATAGGCAGACAAGGTTCCTTGGGTGAATCTGATATCTTTTATTAGACCAACCCAAATAGTTGGAGAATAGTTATTAAGCAAGCTTTCGGGTTCCAAAACCCTTCGTCAGGCTAAGGACGTTTCAGCAGTTGGTGTGTGCTCTTCCTGGATGGAATGAAAAGTAAAGCAGCCAGCGGCTGGGCTGGTATGCATACAAGACAGGTAGTCAGTGAAAATGTAGATTGAGGAGTCAATGGGTGAGAGAGAGGCTGGGGGGGGGGAGAGAGTGGAGAGCTACCTGGGGAGTCAGATGTCAGGCAGGTTATAATGTGTCATAAATCTAATGTCTATATTTAGTCCATGATTTTTAGTATCCAGGAGGTTGATGAAGTGGAGTTCATAGGCTCGTCTCTGGGAAGTGTTTTGTAAGTTTCCGTTGAGGATCAGGACTGAGAGATTGGAGAGAGAGTGGTTTTCTTGTGAGAAATTTGCCCCCACAGGTAATTGGGTATTTCTGTTTTTGATAGATTTCCGGTGTGCGTTCATCCTGGTGTGCAGTTGTTGTTTGGTCTCTCCTACGTATTTTCCATCAGGGCATTTGGTGCATTGGATGAGATATATTACATTTCTGGAGGTGCAGCTGTAAGATCCTGGGATGCTGCTGGCTCTGTTGTGGGGTGCAGTAACAGTGGGGGTGGCAGAGATGTGTTGGCAGGTTTTGCATTTCTTGTCATGGCACAGTCTGGATCCTTTTGGTGTGTTCTGGGCTTGAGGAAGTTTGCTTCT